ACAATCTGTTTCCTCATGAATGGCTTGGAGCTTGAGATAAGCTCCTAAATATTATGCTGAATATTGTATGCTGAAGATGGCACGAAATGCAATAAAAAAAACGTCCTTTATTTTTTTATATAAATAAACTCGTATTTTAATTTACTTAGCGCACTGAATACCGCGCCGATACTCTCAGTAGTCCTCATTTCATATCATATTCTTACAATAATTTAGATGTGAGTGAAATTTTTCATACAGAGTATTTAAAAATAAATGTAGTTTATTTTGTAAAATATAATATTCCCTTTTATCTATTATTGAAATGTTTCAGAGTTTCGATCCAAAAACTACTTTTTAACATATCAAACTTTTTTAAATCACAGATAAAAATCGTCACAAGACGATAAAAAAAAAATCTTTAGAATTTCAAATCCTTTTCGAGTCTCGAAATATATTTTGAATTCAACTAGGATCTTTCGCGAGTTTTATTTTTTTTACGCGCGTTGCATGTGTAATGAGAACACAAGAATTTCTTACGAACTTACAAATTTCTGTGATGTCTTACTAATATGTTTCAATGTCAAGGATAAAGTTATTTTTACATCCTTGCGAATAACTCGCGATAAGGAATGCGTGACAACGAAAGCGTAGTTAGAATAAGAAGCGTCATAAAGCTCAAATTGGCCACTGCCTATTATCACGTGCCGATAATGCAATTGTTTGCTTATCACTATCTGCCCCCTTCTCTCCGTTGCTCCGTTGTTCCTTGCAATCCAAGTGTATTAGATTAGATTAAAAAATTTATGCTTTGTCATTTAAAGGCATATTATCCTTCGCACATTTGATCATTCAGAGATGAGCTCGAACATTTGATCATTCAGCCATGATGTTTGAACATTACTTAAATCAATCACGCATGATAAATCTATCTATTTTTGATCGATCAATCGATGAATAAAGTACAAAGTAGAATAAGCCTAATATTAATAAATTAATATGTAAAATAGTTTGGACTACTTCAAGAAAGTAGTTTGTCCGAATAGTTTAATAAAAACAATGAATAAAAAAACTTATAACAATGTAATTATGAAATAGTAAATATTAAGCCATTTATTATAAGTTAACGTGATGTTTCTAAAATTCTAAAAATTTGTCGCAAATAAAATTTTAATGCAAATTAAGTTATTACTTAAATTGTCACGGATGTCTTTTAATAGCTTTCAAATACGGAATCGTATGACGTGGATTGTAACGGGTAATAAATTCGCGCGGGAAGTATCCGCGCAAATTCTAGATGCGCAGGCGATTGCAAGTAGATTATATAATGTGACGTTGGCGTAATAATACCGGGGTTTTTTTTATACCGATAAGATCTATTAATCACGCCGAGCAATAGTATCTGCTCAACAGATCGAATAATAAACTTGATATCTAGATCGGATTAGATCGGACAAAATGCGCCTCGGAATATAACACTTGGAAGAAATTATTAATTATTTATATAGCTTTACAACAGAGAATAATGTCGCGCTTATAAAAATTTAAGTAATTAAAAGTAAAATTTATCAAAGACATATTAGTTTTCGTAATTTTAGTGAGAATGAAACTTTCCATAAGACAAAATAAAATCCTTATAAAAATAAACCTCATATCTTTATTTTAAAAATAAAAAAATTTTTTTAGAAGATCACAGAATTTTTTTTCTGTACGCTGAAAATACGCTTGAATGATATTCAGTTAAAGAAATATGCAAAATTAATAGATATTGGTCTTTCTTAGTTTAGCAAAAATTTCGGACAGAAATCATGAATATCGAAAATAGATCTGAGGCGAGTCATATGACAAGTGGCGATTGAATCCCTTGACGCGATCCATTTGCAGGTCTCATCTGCCGTGTGTGAATGAGTCCCGTAAATGACGTGCGGATGTTTATTTGCCGATAAAGTTAGCAATCGCGAATCGAGCGCAAATTTGCGTAATTGCGTGTAAATGAACAAGTGAGCCGACCGATGATACTTACCAAGCGTATTATTAGCATGACGCGTCAACATACATGTTTTGGCGTTCGGGCATTCAGGCGAAACTCGTCATGTAGTTTTTTGAAAACTTTAAAAAAAACAATACTAGGTTTTTCTGCAATTCTACACAGAGAATTCCAGAAGAATTTTTGCCCGCGCTTTATTTATTTCACCGTTATAGCAATACGTATCACGTATCACGTGAAGAAAATTACGTAGAAATTACAAATAAATTTTCGTTTTTGCGAAAACAATCGAGTCCTGATCGCGATCAGACAATGTTAATTCATATTCTTCGTAACAATACTTGAAATTAATAATATATATTATTAAAAATATACATGTATATTTATTATACACATGTATATATTTTCTTATTATATATATAAAATAATATACATACATATTTATAAATATTTCAAGATTAAATATATTTATAAATAAATTAATATTAAATATATATTTCAATACGCATTGATTCCCGATATTATAAGAACAAGCAAAAAATGAAGATCATGCTATCTGGAAGTCATTGGAACAATAACGAATAAGAACGTTATACATATTATTATGTTCCCTACTTTTCGCAGCGTCGCATTTTGCGTCGTATAATGTCATTTACGTAAGTAACAATCTCCTTATGTTCAAACGAATCGCGAAGGGAATAAACATGTTAAATTGGCATGTCACAATTTAAAAATATAATTTATCGTATCGACTGTTCAGTAAGATTGTAAACAATATGTTCGTATAATAAAAGATTTATCTAAAATATGAAAGTAGCAAATAATACAAAAAGCTATGCCCAGTTTTAGTGAAATTGGGCTAGGATTATAAAGGATCAAAAAAGGATTAAAAAGTTCCATACATAACCTTACAGAATGAGTCCGAGTGCTAGAGCTATTCAAAGTTAGTTGTTATGATTATACCATTGATTTTATTCGATTTTTCGAGATGAAGACGAGTCATGTGCATGAAACTTTTTAATCCTTTTTCGATGCTCTACAATCATAGCTATGTCTCAATGCTACAAACACAGTCCTTTTATAATTATTTTCAACATTTGGAAGTATCAAATGGAATTAAAATCCGCTGTGACGAAAAATCTAACGTAGTCTTCTCAAAATACAATCCGATATTATTTCACATTTTTTTTTAATTTTAATAAAAAAAATTTAATAAAAAAAATAGAGGAAAAACTCACCAATGCCCTCGATAACGTAGCGATCCTTGGCGTCCATATTCGTGAGTTCGGTGACGCTTACGACAATCCTGACGCTCATTGTCCTGCTTACATCCAAAGACTTCAAGATCTGCGGAGCATCACAACGTCATCCGGCACCTTTTGAAACCTAACTGGCAAATAACAGCATTTATTTTATTTATAGCATGAAGTTTTAATTTTAACAATTTTTCAACCATTAATGGTTTTTCACATTCTAATGATTTAATTAGGGACGCATTATAGATATACATTATAGAACGTATATAAATGCGTCATCACGGAAGATTTTTCATTCTGTTTTACATCATTCATTTTGTCGTTTTAATTTCAACAATAAACTTTTTGAATCTATACTATCTGTCTACACTATATGAATAAATTTATCTACATGAGAATAAATTATATAATGCAAAGTTATATAACTGAACAATTGGGATTCTGTATGCAAAATTAAATTGAAAATAAAATATAGAATAAAATTTGTTTGCTTTTTATTGCTAAAAATAGTTAATTTAAAATATTAAATAATAAGTTCAATAATCTATATACTTTTTTAACGTGTTTTTCAATGCTTTTACACATATCATACATGAAACTCTTATTTTGAAAGTAGCTTACATACATAAAATACATATATAAAATATAAAATATTTTGAAAAATATAATACATTTTATTTAATAAATTATTAAAAAAGTTATATGTATTCAATAGATATTGGCAAATGTAGCACAAATCACAAATTATTCTTTGAAATTTGCAAGATATGGTTCCTTTTAACATCACATTGTTAACAAAAAAAATCAGAATAATTTAATTAAAAAGTTAATTAGGGCAAAATTCAAAATTATTTTGTCCAATAAAATCGAAAGTTAATCCAGATTGACCGAGACGTCGGAATTGAATTTATTCAATCAGGGATCCAGAGTTTCTCAATATGATTGACTAACCTGAGACGATCCAAAGATCCAAATATGATCCAATTCTGATCGCACGCGAATCAACAATCCACGTCCGCGCGAATTAAAAATCGTTACAGGTCTGCGAGAACGAAATGGACATTTTTATGAACAATAGCACAACAAACACGAACCGGGAGTATCATGCGCGCGACCGTCCGAAACTTCAATAACGCGAATTCTCGAAGCGTTTCTACGAAGGTTATTCAGACGCGATCGCTGATCCAGGAAGACAACGTGTTTGATGATATCTCGACAGAAAAAGACACTTGCAACGTCCTCGACGAATAAGACTCGAGTGTCGCCTTGAGGCTTGGGTGTTTTCTTCAAGAATGGCTGACAATATCTCTCTGAGCTTTGTCTCTTCTGGGAATATTTTCTTAAATTTTCTGCTCTCTCTCTCTCTCTCTCTCTCTCTCTCTCTCTCTCTCTCTCTCTCTCTCTCTCTCTCTCTCTCTCTCTCTCTCTCTCTAGAGTACTTTCCTAGTAATAATACCTTATTCGCTTCCCTAAGTAAAGTTTCTTTGTCGAGATTTTCTTTTGTACTGTAGCCCTTAATTCTGATTCGTTCGAATCGAACAGCGTACCGTCCTTTCACTGACTGTCAACTTTTTCACTTTAATCTACTTTGAAATTTATTTTCGACAGTTTTTAACTTCACTGTACAATTAATATTATACAATACATATTTTTTTTACACAGATCCATCTTCGTTACAAATTCCTTTAAATTTTCCGAGATTTTTGTTGAAATCTTTTAAAATTTCTTCTTCAATTTCTTGTCCGATTTTCCACGCTTTTCTTTTTAAATTTCCTTCATTTTCCTATTTTTGCACCTCGATTTCCTCGATTCATTCAAATCCAGTCAAATTAATCGACTTACTGAATCACTTGGACCATTTTACTTTTCTTATTCTCTTTAAAAGCTTTTGAACTCGTTCAACTTGATTGGTGGAACGCTTTGCTTTTCACTGGATTAATAGAACCAACAACGACTTTGGCTGCGGCGGTGATGGCGTCTTGTTACGGGTGTGCAGCGCGTTTTCCGCGGCCCCGTGACCTTGACGAATCCCACCCGACGATGTTGGTAACAGCAGCAGTAGCAATAGTAGCAGACTGATATTACGTAAAACCGAAGTCGCGACGCTTAATTCGCCGACCCAGCGTCGCGATGTTCCGCGACGCATCCATGATCACTACCATGAATATCATTCTCGTTTATCGACTATATGTGACGATATCGATCTCTATCGAGACCACGAAAAATGAAAAACCGACCGCCGTCGAAAATAAGAAAATAAGAAACGGTCGATCACGAAAAAAAGAAGAGAAAAAAGTAAAGCTGTAAGAATGATTGCTCTTCCGTGATTCTTTTCTTAAAAACGTCTCTTTAAAAGAATCAAACAAGAAAAATTAATTGTTATTCGCGAAAGAGAGAGAGTGAAGCAGTGTGTCTTTATTTTTTTATGTAAATATCATTCACTAATCGTTTTCTTTTAAGTGTCCTCGAAGTTCGTGAATGTCTCCAGAAAAGTTTTTCAAAATCTTATTCTCATAAACAGCTATCTCTTCATTAATCTTATCTTATATCTTTCACTAATAGTACTTTTATTCAAGTATATGTTTCATTTAAAAATCGATATTCACATTCAGACAAGTATCTTTTAGAAAACTTCTCGTTAAAAAAACAAATAGAATCTCTGAAGGAATGTTTTTCATCATAGGTTTCTTTCGTTTTAACAATCCTTTCCTTAAGGAATCACTTTGATTGGAAGTTTTTTTTTTTCAGATAAAAAAAACCTTTTTCTATGAGATATACTTTGTGACACAGGTCTTGAAAAAAATGATTTTTTTCTTTAAAACCTCTCTTCGAAGAGATTTCTTCACGAACGATTCTTGGTCGGTGTTTTTCCTCAAATTTCCTCGATTATCGCTTTTCTTTTGCAAAAGCGAGTCGAATTTCGTCTCATTGACATGCTAATCCAATGTTTCTATTCGTCTCCGAGAATTGTTTTGTAAATCAATCATCTTCCTTCGTCGAATCATTGCATATAATCGTCGGAGCAATTAATATTCTTCACACGCCGATCCTCGTATATGACAAATCCCACTAATAGATTATCGTTTCCTTATTATTCTTTGTTGTACGATGTGTGGAAGAAAATAACCTGCTTATCGTAAATGCATATTTTATTATCACGATAATTTCGATCGTTATAAAAATTTTCCAGAGAAATTAAGACATTGTAAATGCTAATGCACGATTGGTTTCATGATTGAATTACGACCTGAATTTTTTGTTTAAATTCTTTTGTCAATTTTCTAATGGCGACTATTTATTATTGCAGATATTTTATTTTTTCGAAATTTTTTTATTCTGATTCCTGAATCACAAATTATGTGTTCAATAAATATGACATTTCTTTACTTGTATATTGACTGAATTATCCGCTTTAAATAACTAAATAAAAAGAATCTAAAAAAGTGAGTCAGATTGAAACCAATATCATCTCATCAAATTCAGATTTTGTTACAAAAATGATTTCTAGATTTTATTTGCGATGATAATCTGCACGAAGATATAACTCGTTAATATTTATGATGCGAAGAATGCATTCATCAAAGTTACACCGGTTTCAATCTCGGAACCTTAAACATAACTTTTGAAAATTGATCGCGATTTTTACCGTGAGACGATATTTTTCTAGATCGTCGATGCAATAAATGTGTTTACGAGACTGTGATCGACCACGTGGTGAACGTGGAATTACAGGTATGACTGGTCCCGAAGTGCATGGTGATGGTAATACATGCATCACATGATACCCTTCGGAATACAATACGCGATGCAATGTGATCGTGTAATTTCTAATTTAATTCCTTTCCTTTAAAAATCAAATTTTTTTTCAAACTTTCTTTGATAATTAATAATTATTAATAACATCCGCAATAACGCAATAATTTGTGATTCCAAATGTAATCATATAAATATTTAAAATAATGCAGGTATTAATAATTAAACTTAATTTTCAAAAGTGATTCGAATAAATTTAAACTTTTCAAGACGATTGGATCCTTCAAACAAAACGACACGCGAGGTATAAAATTATTTTAATTTATATAAATTTTTTCAAGTTTACTAAATACTATATGTATATAATAAAAATTGCCTCGATATTAATTGGATTCATCATTCATAACTGACAGTAGCAATAAAAAAATAAATCTCACAATATATTAAATCCATAAAAAAAAAAAAATACATGCTACTATCTTTTGACTCGTCAGACCTGATAATTGTTCTCTTAGCGCATAAGCCAGTCAATCTCGAGTCTCATAATTCTTATTAAATCTCGACATTCCTTCAGAATCAGAATTTCGTAAATTTTCTCAAAACTATCCCTCGCCTCCCCCCCTCCCCCCCCCTCGTCCCGCCTTCCCCGGAGCTTCTTTTATACAACGAACCGTTGTCTTGCCTCGCTGTCACTCACACGGGACGTTCCCATGCGATTCGGAAATCTTATGTGATCTCGCGATTGACGTCTGACACAGCTTCGTCTCGCACGCGCGATGGCAAAGGAAAACAAACCGCGAGGCAAACTCGCGCGGATGACAAGCTCGATCTCGGTGTGCGGTATGTAAACAACAGCGAATAAATCGTCGCGCTGGAAAAAAGAGAACGACGGTCGAACGGGCGGACGGCAGGACTCACTGCACGCAACAACAATCTCGAGAGAACCTGCGACAACTGTATATACGTCAGACTGGCGGAAAGCCAGTCGTTCGCCGTCGTAACGACAGGTGTTGTTGGAGAACCTGAGGGTGGGGTGAGTACGCAACCAGAGCCCAGGTGGGGATCATATCTGGCCGAAAGTGGGGTGAAAACCTTCGCTGAGACGAGTCAACCTCAGTTGTTGCTGCTGCTGATGCTGATGCTGATGCTGATGCTGCGTGCGGCGTTCATATGTCATAGATATTTCTCGATACGATTCGAATCTCGGATAGAGAGATATTTCTTGATGTATTAGAAATAGAGAAGCTAAAGAGTTAAGGGGAAGGCGGGGGAAAAAAGCGAAAAGGAGATTCAGAGAGAGATTGGGAAAGAATCCAAATAACAATCGAGAGGATTTATGAACCAGATCCTCCACATCGATCCTTTTAGTTTTTAAGCCCACTTTAAACACGAGCTATAATTTACATCAAGAATTCAAGAGTCTGGTCTTATTTATAATTTATATCCTATCTATTTAAGATACACACTTGCACACGTGCATATGCATATACTAGATATATCAGAATGTAATATCAGAATGTAATATCTGTAACAATTTACATATCTGTATAAAATATACCGATTATCTCAGAATTTGTGACAATAGTTAGTAACTAGTAGTATCTGCGATCATTTGGAAATAAAGATATCGAAATGTAAACTATAATAATTTTTAAATAAAAACTATTTAAGGATGTATCCATATTAAAATATTAATATATTAAAATATTAACAAAAGTAGCGCGTGCGAGCGCATAACAATTACATAGACTGTCTCATTTTTTCTTTCCATAAAAATTGAGCATAATTTTCTAAATGATTTGGAAGTTAAAAACATTATCACATTATAAGATATCTCCAAAACATCTTAAAAATGTTTAAAGACATCTTTGAGACATTTGTTAAGCATGTTTTATTAATATTTAAAAATAAATCTGCTGTAATAATAAAAAGTAATATTAAAAAGTTATCAAATTTTAAAAAGAACATATTTCTTAGGATATCTATATTGTTTGAGATATTAAATAAATAAATAAATAAATTTGAAGTTGAACAAATTAAAACATAAACAAAATAACATAATTTTAAAGTTACACAAATTAATTTGTGGAAAATTCGCACGCTTAGGCATAGTACATCGTATAGTGCTGAAATTGACTCGTTTACATTCATTCGACTACTTGATGATGATGATGATGATGATGATGTATTTTATCCTAATGAATGATAAATTAAATTCAGATAAATAAGACAAAGCTAGAATGATTTTCTTATCATTGCACGCAGTCATGTCATGTCAATATCTAAAAAAGTAAATCAAGGTACAAAGATTCCCGGCAATTTTGAGTATATCATCTAAATTTCTTTTTTTCTCTATTTTTATTTCTGGAGTCCTTTGAATTCAAATTTATCTTATAATAAAATAAATATTTCTTGACATTAATGATTAAACAATCCATGAATGAATTACTGATATTTGTGATGAACGATTTACTTATGTGAAAACATAATTGGAAAATTTCCTCCATGGAAATAAAAATTCAGAGTTCCCCTGAAATGGGTAGAATTCAGCTGCCTCGTGTCCAGAAAGTTCGAATGTCACAGATTATGCAGGCAATTGAGACGATCTTCAAAGATCTTACGGAGAAGTCAGACAAATATTTAATGAAATTTTTAAAAGAGAAAACAATGATATATAGAAGTCTCTGTGGAACATACGACCAAACGGTGCTAATCGGAATGCTAATATCGTTGATACTCTAATTTTCAATTATCATAACTTGAAAAGTATAATAATACTTAATGAAAAAAAGCTTTATTATAGTGAGTTTCAAGAAGATCTTGACGCCAACTATTAGATTCCAAGATAAAAAATAAAATTCTATTTTAAAAAATTGATGTGATTTAAATTTGATTTTTGTGACGCAACCCAAGATCAAACTGCGCATATTACTAATATATATACGGTGCTTTATACTCTGCAATTTTTATTTATAATATTTTTCTCAAAAATGCATACTCTTCGAGATATTCGCTCAACCGTTCCGGAATATTTCGGACATCTTATATGTATATCTACTGTGTATTACAGATACTTAAGACAACTTCGATCTCTGTAGAGATCTATATTCGAGATCGTACGTATTAAGAATTATGCTTATCTTATTTAAGGAAAGTTGTTTTTCAATATTACACATACATGTACATATACATGTACAAACAAGAATGATATCGAAATGGACCGGAAGAACTTCAAGATCGTATCGCCGATAAAAATTCCCAATAACACGAGGAAATGACCATTGATCATTAATCACGAGCTGATAAATGTTACTGTTATTAATGTAAAAAAAATTATACTAATTACGTCTGGTTTACTGCGCATTTTAAAATTTAAATGTTTAACAAGATGACAAAGTTATAAATGATGACATACTTACGTAATCAAAGAATTAAATTAACAGTGAAGAATTAAATTAATGTAAAATAAAATTGTGACGCTATTTAAGAAAGAAATGAGATTTTTAATTAATTATAAATAATAAATAAGCCATAAATTTATAAATTATTTAATAATTTATCCCTCTCAATTTATATTCTTATAATAAACTCAAGCAGAAATTCTTTTACTATATTAAAAATATAACAAATATAACTCAAAGAACAATTAATAAATTATAATTAATTGTGAAAAATAATTCTGCCGAATAATATTAATTTATTAATTAATTAAAAGATAAAATTTTTTTCCCTAAATTAGATAAAAGAAATCTGCCATTAAAAAGTGAAGTATATTCGTAAAATACGTTTGATATTTATCTCTATTAAAATTATTTTGTTGTTAGATTAAATTGATTTCTTCGGAACGGCAAGAAAAGGATTTTTTTTATTACTCGGCCATTACGAATATTAATTAAACTGTGCGAATGTAATAGTTATCATAAAATTATTATTACGCATAACTATTACGTAAATATTACATAAATATTACAATGTTCATACACTTATATAGAACATACTTATATACAAGATGATATTAAATAAGTATTAAATATGTATTTAATAGTCCAGTATTTAATATGTCCCTTTTTAATAACATATTCTATTTTTCTCAAGGATGAAAAAAATATCATAAGAAATAAATTCAGAAACTCTACCTTTTCAAGATATGTAGAAACACTTATTGTTTTGTTTATAATAGAAAGTATTTTAGGAATCGTAAAATTTATTTTAAAAAATTGTTAAAATAAATAATTTCCTTCTGCAATAATATACGCTTTACATCGAAAATTGTTGATCTATTTTGTCATATATGATAATAATCCAATTTTTGAGTGTTTTCAAATTATCAATAGTATTATTATCACAAAGTAAACTTTTTAGATGTAAAAAAATAAAAATCCAAAGAAGTTAAGTTAGGAAAGGCACGCGATTACATTATATTTAGGATAATGTTTAGCCTTTACGGAATATGCGAAATAAAGATACAAAAATTTTATAATGATGTTCCCATATTTCAATAAAGTGATATAATTATGTATATTATTACAATTTAATAATTCAACAAGTTTAGATTATTTAATTGAAAGACTTCAGAAGCTATAGAAATATACAATAAAATCCTATTTTCTTACTTGATACAATCACATATAATCAAATTAAATTTGATAAATTACATATACAGATGCTTTGACGAATTACATTTCGCATAGCATTTTACAGAAACATATGTTACAAAATTATATTATCTATGTATAATATGTATAATTATGTATTTACCCTTAATTATCTTTCTTCATTCTATTCGATGTCATTCTATAAATGATGGAATCTCGTCCTGGATCCATATCGGCAATAGCGACTGAAAATATCAAAATTTACGTTCAAATTTTTGTTTCAAGAATAATTATATGTAATGATTCGTTTAAAAAAACTTGTAAAGAAGGAGGTGTGTGTTACGACGGGAGCTTGCCCTTCGAATCGAATTCGGATCCCCTGCTTACCGGGCACCTTTCGAGGT